AAAAAAAAAAAAAAAAAAAAAAAAAAAAAAGAAAGAAACAAGCAGCTCTTCTCTAAAGTAGCAATTTTGCTAGCTTAAAACTTGTCCAAATAGAGATGGATTTTCTCAAGCACTAGAAAAAGCTCCTTTCTCATTTGGGGACGACCCTTCTGATCAAAGATTACACCATGTGGATTGCTACCAGCCAATACAATTTTGTGAGTCATAAAGCTACACCGTAAGAGTTCAGCAGCTGCCATTGGACCAGCTTCAGGTAACTATAATCAACTCCTTTACAGCTTCTTTCTCAGATAGCTCAAAGCTTGTCATAACAAAAGGGAACACTTAACTGAGATCTTTTTTATATCTAGAAAATTTAATTCTATTTCTGAATGCAATGCATGAAATTCTGCTCTCAGCTCAATGGTAAATACTGTCCTCTCAGTTCAGTGGTTATTACATTGATGGCAAGAGAGTTATCTTAAATTTACATTCAAGTTACTGAAAGCAAGATTTAATCCAGAAACTTCATCATCAACTGTTTCTATTTGTCTGGCAGTAAATAGTCTGATGCTATACTGGCCAAGATCACTGGAACAAACATCTTTTATTAACACTTTTAGCACATTTTAATATAGTCATAGAATATGTATGTTAATGTTATCTAGTACAGGCAGGTTAGATATTAAAAAAAATACATGGAATCAGTTATTAGTGCCACACTCATGTAAAAGGAAGCATTTGAAAATTATTTACAGCATTTTTTCTTGCATTAAAAAATACCCCAAACCTGCAAAACTGTATATTAAGAGATTTTATTATCAGATACAACAGATATTTATGGCAGCATTTGCAAATCTTTCCTTAATAATTCCTAATATCCTCCTAGTTTACTAAATATTTATCATAAATAAAATATAACATGCAGATATATTGTGAAATCATCAGCCTGTATTAGTAGAACTCTATTGACTTTAAAAGCAGATGTGTTGATTTACATATATTGCTATCAGGTGTATGTGCACATAAACACACATAAATGCATATATTTTATTCCTACAGATATTTTATGCTTTGGTGAAAGATATATATTTGCTGGTTAAAATTCAATAAGAACATGTGTAAACACATATTTCAACAGAGTGAGAGACATAGGAAATTTCTACCATCAAACTGTACTTTAAAGTCAATGTCTATTGGTTAGCAGAGCCAGGAATTAAGTATAGTTGTGCAACAAGCTGTCAGTATAGGCAGTTTTATAAGAAACCTATTGAAACCTTGACAGAAATACTGCTAATTTCTGTCAAGTCTTAAGCAATTGAGTTGAATATCCTATCCTTTCTGAGATGGCAATCCTCCACCAAAACCAGAGTCCTTTGTCACCACTAAAAGTTGGGGGGGGGTTGCAAATTATGAGGGTTATTGAATACTGCAGACACATCAGCATATATTCTTTAGCAGTATCAATGCAAAGGAAAGAGGACATTTCAAGGAAAATAATTTTCCCCTTGGAGACATAGAGTTTATAACTAAACACCAAAGTTTGTTTTAAGCTAAGGAACACGATACAGCATCATAGCTGAAGAGGCAAGCTGTTTCTTAATCTCAAAATATTTTAATTGTGTAAAAACTGGCAGAGGCATTATATGTTTATTTTCTTGTTCATAAATTTCTTTTGGGAACATCTACCTTTCATAACAATTAAAGGCATTTTTTCAGTCAGGTTTTGCAAAGGGTAGCGTTTCATGCTAGTGCATAAAGTTCATCCAGTTTCTGTGCAACAGGTAACTTCCACATATATGTTCAAGAAGACTATATTCAAATGCATGTCCTGTGAAGGCCTTCTGCCCTATCCCTAAGTCCCCAAAAGAGAATTTTAAAATTCTACACCTACTACTTTGCACAAAAAATGATTTTTACATGTATTAACAAGTGATGCCTTTTAAATGCACTTCTGTGCTCCTCCGATTTAAAACGAAAAAATACTATGTGAACTATCTGACCAGAAATAAATCATCTTTTAAATTTGAACTAAATAGTCATAGGAGACTGACTGCATTTAAATCATCACAAGTTTAATAATATTGTATCCACTTGTGGTAACAATTACAATAGAGGAATTGAATCTCAAAGAAGATTTTCACATGCAGCTAATACATCTCTGGTATGTAAACACCAAGTTCAGAACTTACTTTTATTAGGTAATTATTTATAGGTAATGTGTTCATAGAAGCATTTATAACTTTGGAGCTTAAATGTATTTATCAGATAAATTTCTGTTGTGAATTATTTGCTCAGCTTCAAAGAAAAATGTTTTACAATTGTGGGAACACATTTTGTTCTGTGTGTTCTCAAGGTAGGCAGCGATGCATTTAGAGAAGGGACTGAAATGAAGTTGAGTCACCAGCACTGAATATTTGCTACAACAAATGCATAAGAGCATCAGGAAAAACTTATAGTCTGAAATGCAGATCTCATATCAGTGTAAAATAGAGTAAGACCAGAAGGCACTTTGGTGTAAAGGCAGAGAATGAAACAGTAATGAAACCAGTAGTGAAACACCCACCGCACGTCCCACCTTTTCCTCCTCAGAATGACTTACTTTCTTATTAAACAAGATATAACAGGAAAAATCTCTTTAGAAAATACTTAAATTTCTCTAAAATTTGGTACAATGGGGTCACCGCTGTGGATTAAAAAAAAAAAAAAAAAGCAAAGAACGTATTTGAAAACAACAGATTTTTCAAAAAAGTATGCTATTAGATATCCTGCTACATTGTGAGAGAAAACTAATAGGTGCAAAATCCTACCCTGCCAGCTAAATGACTGTACCTATATGCTGATACCTATTCATTAAATCATGGGACTGTTGAACAAATCACATGACTGGCAGTGGCAAACTCAATTTCAGATCAGTAGTTCACCACTTTGAATTAACAAAGATCACTGCGAATGAAGTTCTGTTCAGCTGTGGTATTATCAACACAGAGATAAGACAACTGTCATATACTATTAATTTCAACTTATTTTCTCTTATTTGACTGACATCAGAATCAAGTCCCCGCATATAAAGAAACACCACTTACAAAGCTGTACTTACTAGTGTATCCTAAACTAACCATATATGAACACATATGCATGGAGGATTATTATTTAAAGAAATAAGATACTACTTCACAAAACATATATATTTAAATATTCATGTTTTATGAAAATCTAAGACAACACATACTTGATCCCTTAGGAGTTGTTACTGCAAGTTAATATTCAGGAAGGAAATACATTATTGCTATTTTACTGAGAAAGCTAGATAACCAAAAGAAATTATGTGCAATGGCAGCTGAACTGTTATTTATATTTTCTGCTAAAGGGAGTTAAATAATATCAGACTGCTTACTGTCTTCTGCCGTAGTCATTGCAGTCCAGTTGCTATAAGCGTTGCCATAACCATTGGAGGCAACCACTCTCATCTCATACTCAGTATGTGGCTGAAGATCTCCGACCCTGTGTTGTAAGGAAGCAGTAGGGCTGGAAAGCAAACTGCAAAGAAAAGCAGCATGGGTTACGTCATTAAACATGCGCACCTAAATAAAGACTAAAACATTACGTGTCTTGTAACAAAACCAGCCACCCTAAAGGTGAGCCGTATTCAAGATAATGGGACTTTTCTTGCTCAGCAGTTGAAAGTGGCTTTGCTATGGTCTGCATACTCTAAAATGTCACCAGCAGAATGCCTCCGCCGCATCTGGAGTCCGTAGCTGGGTGCGCCTGGGGCGTTGTTGCGAACTGGTGTAGACCAGACAACCTGAAGACTGGTCGGAGTGGCAGATGAAAGCCTTGGAGGCATCACACCATCTGGAGCTGTCGAAAGACATGGATGAATTAGAGCAGAGAAAACCACGGAGAACATATGCCGGTAGAAACAAAATGCTCCATACACTGGAAAAACTGTTCTTCGGGATCAACAGCAATGTTAACATGGTCCATTTAGTTTAACATTTTCAGTACTGAACAATGCTATTTCTTCATTTTCTTCTATCCAATACAGTTATATGTGAATATGATTTTGCTAAAAGCAAACCTCCAAACACCAAAACTAATTCAGAGGCAACATATTCTCTACCACCTGTTCAAATATTATCTACTTCTCCTTGTGCCCAGCTCTGCCACCTCAAGAAGTTAAAGAAATGCTCACAGAAATGTTATGCAGTAAGAGTAAAAATTGATCAGACTTTTTATCACTCAGATACCTTCTCACCCTTATAAATTAGTAATAATTTTAAAAGAAAACAGCAAAAATTGTAAGGGAAAAAATGTCTTTAGGTAGAAATCAAAATAGATTCACTGAAGTCTCAGTCTCTAGCCCCCTGTTTTGTTAAGGAAATTAATTTTTATGAAGTCCGGGAACTCCAGATCAAAATGTGTCAGTAACGATACCACCAATGACCTTTAACTACTGCAAATTTCACTGCATGCAGTAAAAAGAACTATGCCAATTTGCACCCATGATTTTATGGCTTTATTTTTTCATTAAGAATAAAGCTGTCTGTTGAAACTTTCTGGAACTTTTATATATAACACATGTCTGTAGCCATAGCTCTGTAGCTCTTTTCCAGAGAGTTAAACCACTGGAAAGTTACTGCCTTTGTCATTTAAATTCTTGTAGAACAGTTTTGCTTTTTATGGTCCAGCAGTTACCATTTGATTCTTTCTTTGGTCTTTCCAACAGAAATTTTTTGTGGCTGTTATTTTTTTCCTTCGCTCTATTTGGAAAAAAACAATCTCACAGATCTGTAACTTAAGTTGTAGTTGTAAGCCTCAAGGCATAAGTTGTAAGATGAGTGAACAGTATTTTACAGTAAGTTTTATGATTTTCATTTACCACCTGTATATGAGGTGGTTACTAAGAGGAAAGAAACAGACTTTGTGATACACTGTCTGAATCATTCTCTCCCTGAAACAGATGAAAGAAAGGCATTGGCTCCAAAAATAAGTCATCAGCCATATACAAAAGTTTTTATTTATACTGACATATACATACAGAGATATGTGAAATGGTATGTCTGACACTTTTACTCTGATTACACATACTTATGACTCAGGAACTTCAAAATTCCTCAACTCCAGCTCTAAATTGTATTACATAGAAAGGCACAAAACAAGTCTTGCTCCAATCTAGAGACTTGTTCCCTTTCCCTTAAGTTCAAGGCCTGCCAGTTCTCATAAGAAATTTTTACTAAAAGCTGGCTGCAGGTGTACCTGAGTTATTACCAGGTATTTTACTTCTGAGAATTGGCCCCTAGCCCTGCAACCCTACCATTTTTTTCAGGACAAGATTAAGTGGAACAAATCTCCAGCTTCCCTCGCTCCCTTCCCCTCCTCTCTTTTAGTGAAAAAACCTATAAAATTTCTGGGTTTGAGCCAGCCTGGCAGCCTTTGGATGCTCCTTCCTGCTGCTGTTATCTAGACTTAGGCAATAAGGCTCCAGTAAATCCCAAGTAAACTTGAAATCTTCTGGTTTCCACATCCAGGAGATGTTTGAGACTAAGGTAATTCATGGTCTGCAAATCCCTTGCCAACACCTTCAAGGCCAGTAAAGAGCTTGTGATGACCTCAACTCAGAGGGAAGAAGAGGGCTGATGAACAGCCCCCAACATCCCTCCAGCTGAGCCATCAAAACCAAACATCTGCACACTAAATGCCTCTGTATGTGAATTAAATCTCACTCTCAGAGTAAAATGGAGAACATACATTTACCTCATTTAACATCATTCTGTTTAGCAGCAACATAACTAATGTTGGAGTTAAGTTGTACAATAAGGTTTAAATCTTATGGATGTACAGTACTTGCAGATAATCATGAATTATTTTGCCATCCCTTTATAAAGTGATTCCTGAAGTTGTTAGCAAGCAAACTCAGCCAGCATGAGAAAGATGGCGCCATTAATGCAAAACCTTTTATTAGAGGGTTTTAAAGTGTTTTCACAAGCTGACACTAATAGAACAACTCAATATCCCTTCAAAGCAAGGTACTACCTCACTTAAAACTGAACTGTCTGTAGCACCAGTTGTTTAAGTGCACACAGAAATTCTACAGTAAAAAAAGCTACGTCTAAAAATGAATCTAATTAGCTGAGCTGTAATCTGCCCAGGAAGCCAATGTTCATATTGTTATTGAGAAGACAGTGTGAGCAACTCACTGAGGACGAAAAAGCGTTAAATTTATTTCCAGTTCTGTCAGAACACATCAATTCACCTTTGTCTTTAATTTCTCAATCTGTTAAATGGAGATAATAATACTTATCCTACTTTGTAAAACTCTCTGAGATCTACAAAGTAAAAGCTCCGATTAAGCTTTATGTATGTATAGTGGTGGTTATTAGAGTGATACAGGAATGTTCATCAGAAAGCAAAGATGTAGCTGTCTAAATGTCAATAACAATTCACTGTGTGGACATTAATTTAATGGCGTAGGTAATCTCAGCTAAATGTTCAAATCTCTTCTACCAACAAAAGCACAGCATAGGGAGGAGTAGAAAATTTGGACAAATCTCATCGGTGAAAGTCGGCTGACCTGTAGAAGAAGCCAAACCCACTATTTTCAAACCAACATATTAGAATATACAGCAAATATATTTAATCTGCAAGACTTCCTGTAGCTTGCAGAGAACATCCTCAGCTATGCACTAGTCCTCAGGTCTGCGCTTCCAAAGGAGTGGGGAAGGGGGGTACAACAAATAAATTGTCAACTCTCTGCTGAGTCATAATGAGAAAGGTGCTCTATTAAACTAATCATGCTTTGATCATTAAAACTACGGAGCACTTCCCCCCAAAAATGGTAATTCTAAATTGCACACAAAACATCCTTTGACACTTTCAAACACTTCTCATCACCAAGGTCTTCAGTGTAACATTTCCCTCAGCTTAACCCTTTTTATCCAATCCATACTCCCGAGAGACTCTTTACTACCCAAGTAATAACTGGCAACCAGCAATAATTCTGCTGTGAATTTCTCAACAGAAGAGCCATGTATCTATCAGCTTGATATATTGTATTTAAGATGCAGTGTTGCTCAAAAAGCTCCCCTCAAGCTTTAATATGACCCTCAGGGGGCAACCACTCCACTTGCAACCTACTGAATCAACATCTAGCCCAGTAAATCCTCACTTAGCAGGGCAGAAAGTCACACTTTGTATATGAAGAGACTACAAAGGCAGAATTAAATATTTAATCAGCTGTCAATTCTAATCAAAGAATTAATAAACAGCCCCACAAAATAAAAAAACCCTGAAGACTGTTTCAACCTGACAATGATATATATTGTATTCCAGATACTCAGGTACATGCAGATGAGTCAAGAAAGATCTGAACCCTGCTCAGCCACTAAATGTGCAGTCTTTGAAAAGTGTTTCAACTTCTTGCCTCAATTTCCTTATCTTAAACAACATATGCAGTAGTAGTCAGCTTTGTAAGTATTTATTTTAGGACAGTAAGAATTGCATTAAATGATTGTGCTTAAATGCTTACTCTATGGTGAAAGCCTATTTTTCTGAGAGGTATTCATTATATTTATCATAAGGATATATCTGAAATTTAAATTTTCTGAGAGTAGAAGTCTGGGTAGGACTATTAAAAGTGAACTACCATTAGAACAATAAATTATTATTTCATTATAAAAATGTCTGTGCTATTAATCTTTAATAAGAGGAAGAAAGCCACTAGAGCTCAATTTGTTATCTGTCAAATTGGTGTAAACTCACACCAGCTTTGAAGTGAAGTGACACTGCTTTTAACAATGATCACATATATTGGCCCTCATGTGTCTATCTGCAGATAGGCAGCTAGAAGAGTTTAGATCTATGTAAATGTAACTCTACAATTTGCCACATCTGCATATGTAAAATATTTAGCACAGGTGATGCATTTGTATCTTATCAAAATATTTTTCATACACATGGAAGCAAATGATAACTGCAGGTATTTAATTACAGAGGAGGAAAATAGGCTCTCCACAGTCTGTGCCATAACAGCAAGGAAAAGTTTCAGTCAGACTGCCTTTAGATTAATGTTTCGCTCAGTCATGCCTACTCTTCCTCTTTTCCAGCTTCAATTCACAAACCCCATTTCTTTATCTCATTGCAGTGGTTGTTTAGATACTTCTGATTCATTTTCTATTTTAGGTGCCCATACTGAGATCATCTCATTACTGCACTTTTTATGGCAATATGTTCTGCACGTTGACATTTGTTTCTTCTGATTCTCCCAGGTATGCCTGTTATCTAGTTGTTTGCTCAGTCCAAATTATTCCAGTTGTTGCACTCCATAATTCTCAACATAGGCATGTGCTTTTGTTTCATTTAATCGAAAGACAGGCCATGATGCTGGGCCATATGTCATCACTAGAAGGGCATGTTAGTTATAAACCTTTATTGGCAAAGCAGAAGATTGCTTTTCTTGTTTCTTATCTTCACAGGTTCATTGATGTTTACTCCAGTTTGGTTTTTAACTCTTTTCCCAGTTATCTTTCTTATTCAGTGTATAGCAAATAGATGCAGTTGTTCTTGATTCTTCATCTAATATGAATGTTCAACCATCTTGTTTTCCACCTACTCAATACTTAAAGAATGTATAGAGTATTCTTGCATTTTAATTTTATCATTTCACTGATACATGTACATGTACATGATACATGTACAACTACATGATACATGCAGTTGCAGAAGTATCTCCATCTAATAATACATATACCAGGGACAACACACCCCTTATTCAACACACATCCATACACTTTGGAACATACAATGTGGAAGGTCCATGGCTGCCTTCTTGCTTGCTCCTCTATGGCACAAGGGTCTTGGGA